AAACGGGAGAAAAACAAACATGAATCTTCAGTTTGGTTTCCATATATCCAAGTTTTGCCGTCCTACTTCAACACACCAGCATATTTTTCACAGACAGAACTGACCTATTTACCTAAAGCTGTCAAATACAAAGCTTTAATAGAGTGTAAAAAGCTGGAGAAAAGTTTCCATGAAGTGGAAGAGTTAAGTGAAAAACACTGGAATGAATTTCATACATTGCTGACATTTGACATGTACAGATGGGCTTGGTACGTGATTAATACAAGAAGTGTGTTTTATCAGAGTGAACAAAGTGAATATTTAAGCACTGATGAACCTGATACTTTGGCATTGGCACCGTTTCTTGATTTATTAAATCATTCTCCATCAGCAAATGTAAGATTTTTATTATTCATAACTACTTGCTAGTAATAACAGTGAAATTTCAAGGTTTATAATTAACATTATCTTGTACCATTTAAAATTTAATAATTATAACTAGTGATATACCTTTTTATTATTGTTAAGTTTTGCTTTTAAGCTGGACTATTGAATTATAGACAGCATTCCTGTCACATTTTGGTTAAGGTTTTGCATGCAATTTGGTATCTCATGAACTATGGAAAGGAATGGTTTGAAATTCTTACATTTATTTGAGAGCATAAAAGGAAGTAACTTTCTAAGGTCCATAATTTTGGACATAATTATGGCCCTTTTTGATCATAGAAAATTCTACATTATCAAGGATCTTGTTTTACTATCAAGCACTGATAGTCATGCATGCTGTCCTACTGACAGTACTTTCTGTACAGGGGCAGATGATAATAACATTGTTTGTGAATGTATACATATGTACTGGTCATTTTAATAAATGGATTTAATACAAAATTTAATGTATGTGAATCTCAAAGATAGTTTTTTTGAAAGACTTTCATGCACTTGAATGATATATTGTGGTAAATGTTGTGTGTTCTATTTGCTTAGTGTACTTTTACATGGGTGTTTGTGCATTGTGTCAAGATTAAAGTCACTTTATAATGTTAAATACATTGAATATTATGTGCTTCAGTCTGTTTACCCTCACCACTGAATGTACTGCATTGTAGAGCAAAATTCACTTTTCATCTATTACCATTGCCACCAATTGTACTGCACTATAGCAAGCAAAAAACTCAGTTGGTACCCTTGATCAGAATATACTTTAATATAATATGAACAAGAATAATGCATGTTTGGTCTGTTTACCCTCACCACTTGCATTTAATTGTATCGGCAGCCATGATAAGTTTTGGTCTGTTTATGCTTGAATAATACAGTTTTGGTCTGTTTATGTTTAAATAATACAGTTTTGGTCTATGTTTAAATAATACAGTTTTGGTCTGTTTATGCTTGAATAATACAGTTTTGGTCTGTTTATGCTTATAAAATGCAGTTTTGGTCTGTCTATGCGAGAATAATACAGTTTTGGTCTGTTTATGCTTGAATAATACAGTTTTGGTCTGTTTACGCGAGAGTAATAAGTTTTGGTCTGTTTACGCTAGAGTAATAAGTTTTGGTCTGTTAACACGAGAATAATACAGCTTTGGTCTGTTTACTGTTTAATATTGATACAGTTTTCGTCTGTTTACGCAAGAATAATACAGTTTTAGTCTGTTTATGCTTGAATAATACAGTTTTGGTCTGTTTAAATTGTATACTCTGATTTTACAAAAAGTGAATTGTCTCTTTTTGAAGCAAATATGACAAAAAAGTGAATGTTTTTAGAGTTCTTTTTAACTATTTATGTGTTTGAAGTGAGATTTTGCAATATAAGTACAACAGAAGTTTTTCTGTTACCTTCTGGAGGCATGCTGCTTTAACTGAAATTAAAAGATAATTTTACTTAATATTTCATTGACCTTGAATTATTTCTGTGAAATACATTGACACCTGTCCTTCTGTCTTGTTTCGTTACATTTAGCAATCAGTTTGATCATAATGATAACATTAGATTAATTAAATTATTTTCTTTTACAGATAAAAGCAGGTTTTAATACTGGCACTAACTGTTACGAGATTTCTACAAGTGACACATACAAAGCCTATGATCAAGTGTTTATATGTTATGGTTGTCATAGTAACGAGAAACTTTTCTTAGAGTATGGGTTTTGTGTACCTGGGAATTGTAATGATACAGTAGAAGTCTTATATGGTAAGTATAGTATAACTCAACCTTCTAGGTGAACATTCCTATTATTTTATACATTTCATATTTATACATGTATAAGGATCTCATTGTTTTGTTTTTATCAATTTTATAGTTGCTAAAATAAATGGACAACAAAGATGAAGCAACAACAAAACAAACGTGCAGATCTGGGTATATCATTGATCTGATAAAAATAAAAAATGATTATTGAAAAATTGGATAGGTTTTTTGATAGTTGTCCTGATGAAGGTCATTATTTTAATGGCACCAGTCATTAGGTTAAAGAGCTTAATTCTACTCGGTTGTCCTTGATGTGTTGTTTTACTTCCTGTCCATATCTACATGGTTTTTACACAGAATGATATTTTTATAAGATATAGAAAAAACATATAATTTATGTCCTTATTGTGCGCAGGTAAAGTGTTGACTTCAAACTACATGCCTCTCACCACTGTATGTACAAATCTTGCCAGGGGACATTGGATTCTTTCATGTGACAAAGCTATCCAGCTAGCTTATGGAACATTGGTGGTTCTACTCAGATGCCAGTTTGTGCCTGATATAATGCATGGAGGTGTACCTGAGGTCTTCCTCAACCATTAAAGCTGGAAAATTGCCATAAGACCTCTTCTGCATTGGTGCAACATAAAACCCAACTCCCCAAAAAAGTTCTTATTGCAGTTGCTTTTGAGTAATCTCATTTTTGTTTTACTTTTCAGATGACATACTGAAAGCATGTAATCATTTTTCAATCCAGCATCTGTCCAAGAAAATAGCTTTGTTGCAAGAACATGGTTTATTAAAGTAAGTTGCTATGACAAATCAGAGCACTGAAGGCTTCAGTTTTGTTTTAAACAACAAAGTTGTCAGTCAATCTCAAGATTAACTCTAAAGGCTGTTTATGTCATGAGAATATGGTATATTATTTTTGGTCAGCAGTGAAATTTTAAAATTTACTTTGCCATACAAAATTATATTTGTTAGGTGTGTGTAAAAAAACATAGGTATAATATTTCATAATCATTTAAAAGTCTAATGTTACATGATTCATACTCAATCATAAAAGATCTTACAGAACTAAGGGCATAGTGCAAAACAATTGTGTCTGTCGTTTTGTTTTCCATAAAAATCAAACTTATATCAAATTTAACAAGCAGGTAAAATCTACATTTTCAGATCTTTGATGTGCACCAATGAAGGTCTGTCATGGAATCTTCTCTCTGTTTTAAAAGTATTAGTGATGGACTGGAACCAGCTGTAAGTATATCATATATTTCCTTAAAGCTATTTCCTAACAGAGCAAAGTAATGATGAGGAAACTTTTCATTCTTTTTACAATGTATGTTTTTTTAAGACACACTATAAGAGAATGATATTAAAAAGAAAAACCCCACACATAGCTTGCAGCTGTTTTTTTCTATACATTTGACAGATATACATGTACATGTGTTTTGACAGATTAGTTAGCACCAATGTTGTTTATTACATTGTATTTACATTCTCCCATTTTAAACCCTCAACAAGAAGTCAATGAAACATGTAGGGATATAATGTATACTTAATCTGCACTTAGTGTCCACTTGTACTATTTTGATTTTGCTTATTTCTGAGATGTGGCTTTTTCTACTATGTTGCAAACAAGTATTGAATTACATGTACTTAAGATTATCATTAGCATTTATTTTGTGGATTAATATATGCTTTATTTTGTTTAGCCTTAAAGTTAAAAACTTCATCCTTAAAAAAAAGAATATTTATGATATTGTTTCATTGATTACTTATCATGTCTTTATGTGCCATTTAAAAACACCTTTCTTTCTAAGTAACTGTAAGGTACAAAAATGACCAAATGTTAAAATTTCACAATCTCTTGACTAATTAAAGATCCTGTATATTGTGATCACAGTGGTTAACCACACTAAGTGAAATTAAATTTATGTAAATAATTATGCAAATAAAACAATTTTCAAACATCAAAGAATATGTAAAATATGTACTGCAAATATTTGTGCATATTATATGTAATCATTTAAATATATGCATTCATTTCTAATTGTAAACTTTATAGAAAATAAATTTCTAATTACCTCCCTTTATTTACATGAAATGTTAAATTCGGTAATATCTTTATCATTAACGCTTTTTGGAACCTACAATATTGACAAATCTTAATTTGAGCAGCATATTTATGTTTGAAAACCATAAAAAATTGTGTGACAGGATCTTTAATACTATTGTGAATTCATGTTTTTTATGCCACCGCAGCATCTGCGATGCGGTGGCATATAGCGATTCACCTGTGTGTATGTGTGTGTGTGTGTGTGTGTGTTTGTTTGTTTGTGTGTGTGTGTGTTATATAGATTATATAGTGAACTTAAAAAATCTTCTTGTGAAAAACCACTAGTCCAATTTCAACCAAACTTGGCAGGATTGTTCCTTGGGTGAAGGGCTTCCAAAGTTGTTGAAAGAATTTCATTCCATGCAGAAATCTGGTTGCCATGGCAACCAAAAGGAATTATAAGGATAAATTTTAAAAATCTTCTTGTAAAGACCCAAAAGGCCTAGAGCTTAGATATTTTGCATAAGACATTGTCTGGTAGACCTCTACCAAGATTGTTCAAATTATAGCCCTGGGGTCAAAATCGGCCCCGCCCCAGGGGTCATTGATTTTCACTATATGTACATATAGTAAAAACTTAAAATACCTTCTTGTAAAGACTGAAAAGGCCTAGAGCTTAGATATTTTGCATAAGGCATTGTCTGGTACACCTCTACCAAGATTGTAAAAATTATAGCCCTTGGGTCAAAATCGACCCTGCACTGGGGGTCATTGATTTCAATTTATATGTAGATAGAGTAAAAACTTAAAATACATTCTTGTAAAGAACCAAAAGGCCTAGAGCTTAGATATTTTGCATAAGGCATTGTCTGGTAGACCTCTACCCAGATTGTTCAAATTATAGCCCTTGGGTCAAAATCGGCCCCGCCCGTGGGGGTCATTGGTTTTCCCTATATGTATATAGTAAAAACTTTAAAAAAAATTCTTCTAGCAATTGACAAATGCTAGAGGTTAGATATTTTTCATGAAACATTGTGAAGTGAACTTCTAGCAAGATTGTTCAAATTATAGCCCTGGGGTCAAAATTGCCCCCGCCCCGGGGGTCATTGATTTTCAATATATATATATATATATATATATATATATATATATATATATATATATATAGTAAAAAATCTTGTCTGAAGGTACAAGGCTTAGAGCTTTAATATTTGTTAAATGATATCATCTATAGGAACTCTACCGAAGTTGTTCAAATATCATCTATGGGTCCTCTACTAAATTTGTTTTAATTATGCCCCTAGTGTTAAAATTGCCCTGCCCCAGAGGCAATATTTTTCCTTATATGTATAAAGTAAAAACTTGAAAAATCGTCTTCTCTGAATTTACAAAGGCTAGAGGTTAAATATATAGCATGAGACTTTGCGAAGTGAACCTTTACCAAGATTGTTCAAATTATAGCCCTGGGGTCAAAATTGGTTCCGCCCAGGGGGTCATTGATTGATTGATTTACATATAGTAAAAAAATAAAAAATATTTTTGTCTGAAGGTACAAGGCATAGAGCTTTGATATTTGCTATATAATATCATCTATAGGCCCTCTACCAAAGTTGTTCAAATTTTTCCCCTGGTGTTAAAATTGGCCCTGCCCGGGGGGCAGTGATTCTCATTATGTACACATAGTAAAAACAGAAAATAAAACAAATGTTTTCTGAATGGGAGAAAGCTACAGCTTAGATATTTGACTTGAAATGTTGTTTGGTGGACCTGTATCAAGATTGTTTTGAATTAAACCCTTGGGTCCTTCTTGTTCTTTGATGTACAGCAATGAAATTTTGACCATGTGCACAGTTTTAGTTATATAATTGAACTTTGATATCAGGTGACCTAGATTTTGATGATGTGACATTCTTTCTTGTCCTTTGATGTACAGCTATGAAATTTGAACCATGTGCACAGATTAAGATGTAAAGTGAACTTTCATTTCAGCTGACCTAGATTTTGACAAAGTGTCTTACTGTGTTGTCCTTTTGATGTAGTCATGAAATTTAGGCTGTGTGAAATATGACCTTCACCACAAATTCACTAGACTCGAGTGCATTGATATATTCCTACTCTGATCTTTTATTGAGTTAACAACAGATTTAACCACTAATCTGTTAATAAGAATAAGATAGGTCAGGGATCTATGCATTATGACAATCTTCAAAATTGTATAGAAACAAAAAAATCTGTTCCTACACTACTTTTTAGTGTTGTATTAATGCGGTGGCATAGCATTTTTCTCAAATGCAATCTTGTTTTTTTTTATTATAGTCAGATATGGAATCAAGTGTATACAAATGATGTAGCTTTTCCTGATATTATTCCTGCAGCGAAAAAATTAGCACATTGGATACTGCAGCAGTATCTGGCAGAAAATACACAGCACATGAAACATGTAGAAAAGGTATTAAGTTGAATTTATCATGTTTTGATACACTAACTTTCTTTTGCCAGATGACATATTTGAGTTCACTTGTATAAAGCTAAACACATTGTTTTACTTGTTTGTTTCGGTTTAACGGTGCCACTTACACATTACTGGCTGTACTGCGCTGAAGCATTGTATTACATTAGTGGACATAGGAACATTTATTATCCTAGAGTTTGGTGGGGATAAAATTAATATTGTTTTAAAGATGCTAATCTTTTTTACTGATTTTTCTCCATCTTCTTGGTGTTTCTCGTAAATTAAGGCCCTTGAACTGTACTGTGGTCAAGTGTGTCAGTTAAATTTCCAAAGAAAACCTTTCATTTTCCCCTAGCATCATTCTGTAATGCTACTTTCTTGTAACGGAATGAAAATGTCAACATTACAGTTTTTCACTTTCTTACTTGTCAGTACTGTTTTCATTTACAGTTTTGCTAAAATTTTATCATTTTTCAAAGTTTTATTATATACCCATATTTTGCAACCAAATTATTATTATTATGATTTATTTATTATATTAAATGTTTTTAATATTGAAAATGTTAAGAGGATATTTTTTTTGTTTGAGTGAAATATGGAATATATTTTCATGAAACATGATAAAATGCCACATATTTTCACAAGCCGGGAGGGCGAGTGAAAATATGTGGCATTTTATCATGTTGAGTGAAAATATATACCATATTTCATGAAAAATGAAAAATAACCTTTTTTATTTAATTTAATTATCGAAGAAAAATGGTATCAAACCCCATTGCTTGCTACGCAACTGCAATTGTACAGCACGCTTTAATATATTATTGCATCTTGTTTTGCACGCAATATCTGGCGCTACATTGTGACGTCATGTAAACAACTCTTTAAACATCTGTACAGCATTAATAACTGAATTACGTTCGGATTTATTTTCTTAGTTAGACGATTTTCTATCATTCTAGATAGTTTACAAAGCAAAATTCAACAAAAAGTTGTTTAGTATTTATCAGATTAACAAAATGACAAAAGAAGTCCCTTGAAATAAATATGAGTTTTGACTCCCCCCTCTTTCATATTTATATTTCATATTTATTTTCAAAAAATATGAAATATATTTGACTGAAATAGCACCATATTTCATGGGTAAAAATAAATAATATGTAACATTCTGTACAAAAGGGTAACTTAGCTCATGAGGGAGACAATCAAATTTGTGATTCAGGGGTAGCTGGTTTAATCCTGGTCCGATCCCTTGAAGAGGCAAAATGTCTCCATTACAATATATCATAGACGTTGAGTCCAATTGTAATTTGTCTATAATAACTGATTCAGATAAGTTTTGGGACAAGTAACCGGGCACTTGGGAAATTAGTAAATAAAAGTTAGTTCTTCAGGAAAGCTGTTATTACCAAAATGTATATCGCCTCCATGGTCAAGTGGTTAGAGTCGCTGACTTCTAATCCAGTTACCTCTCTGGCGTGGGTTTGATCCCAGGGAGATGCTTTGGTAGTTTAGCATGGAGGAAGGTGGTCTTGTACTGGTGTAACTCTCCAGGAACGATGGTTAGGAAACTACCCGCCTATATGACTGAAATACTGTTGGGAAAAGGCGTAAAATGAAACAAACAAACAAAACAGTGACAACAAATGTGTTGAAATTGGCATAGAACCAGACAACCAAAGTAAAACAAAAGGACTTTAGTCAAAATATTAAAAAGAACTGTTTCACTCATCACATATCATTTCTGTTTCACTCATCACATATCATTTCTGTTTCACTCATCACTTATTATTTTTCTTGTTTCTTTTGTCACTGATATACCAACACTTCTATTATTTTCGTTTGAAATTGATCAACATTTAAAAAAAAATTGGATAAAACTAATTTTCAGATAGTGATGCATAAATGACAATGAAGTAACAATAACTTGTATGACTTGTTTATTAATGTCTATTAATGCCACTTATGCCATTAGAATTGAATCATGTAAGTGTGAGTTGATATGAAACTTTTTATCCTTTGCAGATAATATCAAATGATGACAACCCACAGCATGTTACAATTGCAAGACAACTTATTTCTATCGAGAGAGATATTTTAATGACATCATTTCAATAGTATCTACATAAATATGGATTGAACTATTTAAGTTATATTTAACATTTAAAAGCACATTAAAATCATATTTTTGTATTATATAGTATATTTTGAATAAGAAATAAAATATAATAAAGTACTGTACATGGTTATTAATCACATTCATCAATATGTTTGAAGTCAATATTCAGGGCCTATTTCTGATGGGAATGTTACTGAATTATATTCCTAAATGAACTTCCAAAATTTCTGAGTAAATTTCTGGTATTCAGTTTTAATTTCACACGATCAGTGCTATTTGAAGAAGAAGAATGAAGAAGAATTGTACGTGTATTTCCAAATCCACATATGAACAACAACAGTCTGGTTTAGGGTAATAAGCCCTTGATCTGACACAAAATATACATCTCAATACAATGCAATATAATACATGTACATTGAATGACAATACAATGTAATGCAAAACTATACAATTACATACATTGACAATATAATACATTGCGCAATACAATGCATTGCAATGCAAAACATTACAATGACATAGTTTACATTGATTTTAAATAACATTATTCACTGTCAACATATTTTAGATTAAGTACATTGTCAGAATGGAATGATATCAGTTACATTTAAATAAAAAAAAATACTGTATTCTTTCACTCAAGTGTATTTCTTTGATTATTTCGGTTATGATGTTGTTATGTGTTATTGTTATATTGTTTATACACATGAATAAACGTTTTAAAATATTATGTTGTTGATTTAATTTGTTTATCGCTTTTTTCTAAGTTACCTCCCTTGCAGTCCTATTTATAGATACGAATTCTGTGAATTTAAATAGAAACCGAAAAAAGCCTGCAGACGGTTTTGCTATTGTGTGATAAAACTTTGAAGATTATTGGAAAACATCCGAATATCCGAGTACTCATCGGAAAAATGAGCGAGTACTCGAGTATTGATTTTGGTACTCGTTGCCATCCCTATTTAATATGGCTATTGTTTTAGAGATTACAAATACTTGTTCAGATAGTGATTTAAATTTATACTGTTTTTTAAATAATCTTGATGTTTTGAATCAGGATAGTTATTTTCTAACGAATTGTTTAACCATATCCTTAGACCACCTGTCTTCTTTTCGTTGAGATAAAATTCATCATCGGCAGAGAAACAGTGAATTTTCTGTTTTGTCCTTAATTGTATTTCCTAAAAATGTTTCAGTTTCGACGAAAGCGAAAGTGTTTTAAATATATTTAGCTATGTTATTCACGGGTTCATTTGTGTTTATATTAAGAAATTGTGCATTGGTTGTATTGGTAATATAGCCAAATTGTCAAGAAATGAAATTGAAACCTGCAAAGTATTATACTGTGCTTGTACTATTATCTGAATGACCGATGGTCAGTTATAACCATAACACTGTTAAATATATATAAGTTGTATTCTAAGTACAAGAGCATATGTTTACATGTTAAAGCATTCTATCAAACTTACAAGAAAAGCATTGATGCAAAGCATCAAAGGGCGTCCAAGCAAGAAATGCAGCTAGTAAGTCATCAGATATTCTTATAAACTTTTCAATGGTTAATTGGTTTTTACCAGAATTGTATATCAGACGATAGACATAGTTCATCATGAACTTTGGTAGGCATGCTATAGAGATTAGAATATTAAATGTTTTTTTCCACAGGAACTTGAAATTATATATATTAACGATAAAATATACAGGTTTATTATATCCAAAATATATCCCCCATATGGTATAAGTTTATTTATACTATATAGAGAGTATTTATGGATATCATCATTAAAATTGGTTATTTGATAGAATATCAAGTTCATGTCGTATTTTCGTTGGAACATACATAATAGTAGTCAAAATGAACTAAGTCTGTTAATTGGTTCATTGGAGAAGATCAATCTACTTTTTTTGTGTCGCCTTGATAAGGCGACATATAGGGATTACTTTTGTCGGCGGCGTCGTTGTCGGTGTCGGCGTTCCCTAAAGCTTGTCCGGAGCATAACTCAGTCACTATAAGTCTGATTGACTTCAAACTTGGTATACATGCTTCTTTCAATAACCCGAAGTGCAGTGCACAAGGACCGGTACTCTGCAGTTCTTAATTTTTGAGTTATTGCCCTTTGTTAATTTTCATTCTTTAATTTTGTCCGGGCCATTTCTCTTCAACTAAAAAAGCTATGGACTTGAAACTTCATAGGATGATAGAACTCATTAAGAAGAAGTGCATTGCACAAGAACTGGTACTCTGCACTTCCTAATTTTTGAGTTATTGCCCTTTGTTAATTTTCATACTTTATTTTTGTCCGGGCCATTTCTCCTAATGTATAAAAGCCATGGACTTGAAACTTCATAGGATGATAGATCTCATTAAGAAGAAGTGCAGTGCACAAGAACAGGTACTCTGCATTTCTTATTTTTAGCTCACCTGCCACAAAGTGACAGGGTGAGCTTTTGTGATCGCTTTTCGTCCGGCGTTCGTCCGTCGTCCGTCCGTCCGTAAACTTTTACTTTAAATGACATCTCCTCATAAACCCTAAGCCAATTTCATCCAAACTTCACAGGAATGTTCCTTTGGTGGTCACCTTTAAAAATTGTTCAAAGAATTTAATTCCATGCAGAACTCTGGTTGCCATGGCATCCGAAAGAAAAAAACTTTAAATATCTTCTTTTAAAGAACCAAAAGAGCTAGAGCTAAGATATTTAGCATGAAACATGTTCTAATGGGCGTCTACCAAGTTTGTTCAAATAAAAGCCCTGGGGTCAAAATTGGCCCCGCCCCGGGGGGTCATTGATTTTCCCTATATGCATATAGTAAAAACTTAAAAAATCTTCTTTTAAAGAACCAAAAGAGTTAAAGCTAAGATATTTAGCATGAAACATGTTCTAATAAGTGTCTACCAAGTTTGTTCAAATAAAAGCCCTGGGGTCAAAATTGGCCCCGCCCCGGGGGGTCATTGATTTTCCCTATATGCATATAGTAAAAACTTAAAAAATCTTCTTTTAAAGAACCAAAAGAGCTAGAGCTAAGATTTTTAGCATGAAACATGTTCTAATAGGTGTCTACCAAGTTTGTTCAAATAAAAGCCCTGGGGTCAAAATTGGCCCCGCCCCGGGGGGTCATTGATTTTCCCTATATGCATATAGTAAAAACTTAAGAAATCTTCTTTTAAAGAACCAAAAGAGCTAGAGCTAAGATATTTAGCATGAAACATGTTCTAATGGGTGTCTACCAAGTTTGTTCAAATAAAAGCCCTGGGATCAAAATTGGCCCCGCCCCAGGGGGTCATGGATTTTCCCTATATGTATATAGTAAAAACTTAAAAAATCTTCTTTTAAAGAACTCAAAGAGCTATGGCTAAGATATTGAGCATCAAACATGTTCTAATAGGTGTCTACCAAGTTTGTTCAAATAAAAGCCCTGGGGTCAAAATTGGCCCCACCCCAGGGGGTCATTGATTTTCCCTATATGCATATAGTAAAAACTTAAAAAATCTTCTTTTAAAGAACCAAAAGAGTTAAAGCTAAGATATTTAGCATGAAACATGTTCTAATAAGTGTCTACCAAGTTTGTTCAAATAAAAGCCCTGGGGTCAAAATTGGCCCCTCCCCGGGGGATCATTGATTTTCCCTATATGCATATAGTAAAAACTTAAAAAATCTTCTTTTAAAGAACTCAAAGAGCTATGGCTAAGATATTTAGCATCAAACATGTTCTAATAGGTGTCTACCAAGTTTGTTCAAATAAAAGCCCTGGGGTCAAAATTGGAACCGCCCCGGGTGTCATTGATTTTCCTTATATGTGTATAGCAAAAACTTAAAAAATCTTCTTTGAAAAACCCAAATAGCTAGAGTTAAGATATTAAGCATGAAACATCTTTTAGTGAGTGTCTACAAAGTTTGTTCAAATAAAAGACCTGGGGTCAAAATTGGCCCCGCCCCAGGGGTCATTGATTTTCTTTATATGTGAATAGCAAAAACTTAAAAATCTTCTTTGAAAAAACCCAAATAGCTAGAGTTTAGATATTAAGCATGAAACATCTTCTAGTAAGTGTCTACAAAGTTTGTTCAAATAAAAGCCCTGGGGTCAAAACTGGCCCGGCCCCAGGGGTGTCATTGTTTTTAACTATATGTGTATAGTAAAAACTTTAAAAAAATCTTCTTTCAATAAAGCCCAATGAGCTAGAGCTTAGATGTTAAGCATGAAACATCTTCTTATGGGTGTCTACCAAGTTTGTGCAAATAAAAGCCCTTGGGTTAAATTGGCCCTGCAACGTTGGGGGGGGGGGGGGGGGCCTATATACAGGTGAGCGACCTCAGGGCCATCATGGCCCTCTTGTTTTAGTTATTGCCCTTTGTTAATTTTCATACTTTAATTTTGTCCGGGCTATTTCTCCTAAAGTATAAAAGCTATGGACTTGAAACTTCATAGGATAATAGATCTCATAAAGAAGAAGTGCAGTGCACAAGAATCCGTACTCTGCATTTCTTATTTTTTGAGTTATGGCCCTTTGTTAATTTTCATACTTAATTTTTGTCCGAGCCATTTCTCCTAAAGTATAAAAGCTATGGACTTGAAACTTCATAGGATGATAGATCTCATTAAGAAGAAGTGCAGTGCATAAGAACTGATACTCTGCCTGCATTTCTTATTTTTTGAGTTATTGCCCTTTGTTGATTTTCTTACTTTATTTTTGTCCTGGTCATTTCTCCTCAAGTATGAAAGCTATGGACATGAAACTTCATAGGATGAAAGATCTCATTAAGAAAAAGTTCAGTGTACAAGAACCGGTACTCTGCACTTCTTATTTATGAGTTATTACCCTTTATTAATTTTCATACTTTATTTTTGTTCAGGCTATTTCTCATAAATTATAAAAGATATGGACTTGAAACTTCATAGAATGATAGATCTTATTGATAAGAAGTGCAGTGCACAGAAACTGCTGCTCTGCACTTATTATTTTTTGAGTTATTGCCCTTTGTTAGTTTTCATATATCACTTTTGTCCTGGCCATTTCTCCTAAACTATTTTGTTCAGGCGACACATCCGACTCGCGGAATTCTAGTTTAATGAATTACTTCAAAAACCTCGTCTGGCCCACCCGTGTGTTTACATTC